CGTCAAATAATAGTTTATAATAAAAATTACTTACAATAAAATTGCTAATTGCTATTATAACTAAACAAGAAATAGTAATTATAAAAAATAAAAATTTAAATCAAAATTATGCATAAATCAATTAATTAATTAAATTACAAGCAATAATATATTGTAATGAAAAACTTTAATACACAATAATAAATTTAATACAATAAACATTTTAATGTATTATTAAAAATGAATGAGTAAAAATTTGTTAAAAAGTAAGTACTGCAATTTAATTTAATTGATAAAAATATTATGAAAGAAGAAATATTATGTTTTCATTAAAATTTGAGATGAAATATAATAGAATAAATGTTAGGATCGAATTATGGTAACTTACTCAAATTGAATTGGATTAATAGCTCAAAAGAAAAATATTACTTTTTAAATTAAAATTTTTGTAAACATATAATTTTTGCTTTCTTTGATCTTTACCTATTAAATTTTGATGTTTACTTTGTCTTTTTTTTTCATTCATTTTATTGAAATCATTTACAATATCATAGTTATTCATTTCTAATTTTAATAATTTTTAATTTTGTAATGAAAAATATTAATTGAATTTTTTATTGCAATATATTTCTTAACAAATATAATTTTTATATTTGAAAATAATAAACAAACAAAAAAAAAAAAAAAAAAAAAAGTTGGTGAGAATTGCAATTCAATTCAAAATATTTCAATTCAAAACATTATTAAATAATTAATTAATTATTAAAATAATTAATTAATTAATGAGCTCAATTAGCGTAAAATTTTCCACCTAATTTTTGGAATTATGTAATTTTATTTCAAATATGCATAAATGATTGGAAAAAATTTTCAAAATCCTCTGCGTCTCTGCTTTTAAACCTTCTTCCACCCTCTCTCCGCCTCTCCACTTTTCCACAAATCTCTTCAAATTCACAAAAAGCATTGAGATGGGACTCTAAAAGCAGTAATAATACTAAATAGAATCGATTAGACTGCATCGTTCTCTCTTTCACTCATCTTTCTCTATCATCTCTCTTTCATTCACCTTTCTCTATCGTCTCTCTTTCACGTCATCTTTCTTCCATCCATCATCCTCTATTGTCTCTTCTTCAGCCCATCTCTCTCATCGTCTTTCTTTCTCGTCTACCTCCGTTATCTCTCTCATCCTCTTCCATCATCTTTCTTTTACTCCTCTCTCCTCATCTCTTGTCCACTCATTTTCTCATATCGTCTCTCTTCCACTCATCCTCACCCATCATCTCTCTTTCACTCGTCTTTCCTCATCGTCTCTCTTCCACTCACTCTTCATCCTCTTCCACTCACTTCTCTACTAATCTCATATTTTCTCCAACTATTTACAATTCGAAATTGTTTATGCATGCGTTAAATTTGCTATTTCTAAATAATTTTTGCAAGAAATATTTGATTAAAAGCATGGAAGCGTTCTAATGAGTTTAATTTATTACTTTCATTCATTTTTCTTTCCTTTTTTTTTTTTTTTTTTTTGCTAAATAGAAAATTCATAGACTTTTGTTAATTAATTGAATAAATTACTTTTGCATATATATGTAAAATGTAAGTAACATTTATCAGAAATATCTCAGAAATTTCCCTGAACAAATAAAGTAATACTTATTTGAAGCAATTTCTTATTTTTCTCTTCAATTTTCTTTTTATTTTCAAATAAATAATTGAAAGATAAAATGTGTAAAATGATGAATATTTGAAGTATATAAAGGCAATTTGTATGGAGCGCTAGCTATTTCAGTATTCATTTAATATCAATTTTCATTTCTATTATTGTTTTTTTATTTCTTTGCTAAATTTATATTCTATTATCATTTATGTTATATGTAATCTGAACTGCTAACTTCCTACATTTCAATTCATATAATTATACTAATATTAGTCTGAAATAGATTTTAATGTTAGCCAAATTTTCATTCTTCATTCAATGCAATTCAGCAAATTACTTACTGCATAATAAGTTAATTTTTATATTTAATTTCTATCGTTTATTAATTTTTTTTTTTGCTATTTCTTTATTTCTATATTTATTTATTTATTTATATTTTGCAATTACGTTTAAGTTTTAGCCATTCATATTTGTATTTATTGCATTTATTTATTTATTTATTTATTTATCTATTTATTCATGTAGCATTCTATTTGTTTATTTACATTTCAAATCAGTCTGCAACGAAATAATTTACACAAAATTGTATTTAAAAATTGTACGGAATTTTTTTTTTCCATTTTCTCCCTAATTTTTACTTAAATTAGCATTTTCGCAGTAATTACTAATTAGAATACATGTATATTTCTTAAACATGTGCAATTTACAAGACAGTTATGATAGTATTGAAAGTAATAAATTAAAAATTGAATATTTATCAGATTGTAATTTTTGTTGTTTGTATTGTATAAGTCAAAAAAAAAAACAAACAAACAAACAAGACAAAACAAAAAAAAAAAAACAAAAAAGGTTGATAAAAATGTAATACTTATTAATACTAACAATAAACAACCTTAATAATCTAACATTCATATTAAATTATTAATGTGAATTTGACAATTATCAGCTGTTTGTTCTTTGATATATTTACACGATTATTTTGTAAATATTAGAATTGAATTTTCATCTCTTCACAATTGATTACATTGGAATTGGAAATGAATATTACAATTGAATTTTCACAAATTTAATTTCCATTAATTATATTTAAAAACAACCTGGAAGATCAAAAAAAAAAAAAAAAAAATGAAAGGAAGCAATTAAAAAAATCAAAAAAAGAAGGAAAAATCTTTATTTTTTATATAAATTTAAAAAAACAGAAATCTTTTCATTTTCAAATTTTTAACAAACTTTTCTGATTCATTTTTTCTTTTATATTAAAATTGTTTGATAATATCAAACTGTTAAATATCACCTGATATGTTTTCTTGTGGACATTTCTCTCTCTCTCCCCTTCTTTCTCTCTCTCTCTCTCTCTCTCTCTCTCTTCTCTGTTTACATATATTGATTTGTAGTTTGAGTTAAAAAAGAAAAAAAAAAGCAAAAATAGCTTATTATTTTGATATTTTATCTAAGAATTCTTCTCATTCCTATGTTTTTTTTTTCCTTCCCCAAAAACTGTACCAAATTTTTATGTTATCATCACAGCTGTGTTTTAGTTTTTTTTTTTTTTTTTTTTTTTTTAATTTAATTCAAAATATTGGGAATATTTTAGTCATAAAAGAACGATAGTATGGTATTATTATTATTAAACAAATATTACTTGCATGCATGCATGCATGCATATATATATTTGTATACATTTCATTTCAATTTAATTTTTAAAACTTTTAATATTCTGAATGTTATTTTTCACATACATATATATATAAATTGTAGATTGTAGAATTTTAAATGATTATTTGATACATTTTGATAATAATTATATATTTTTGTGTTAATAATTTATAATTTACCCAAACTTTTCACTTTGAATAATTATTTTTCTTTCATTTACGCAATAATTTCTAATTTCTGGTTGGAATTTTTTTTTTTTTTTTTTTTATTGAAATTAATATTTACTGTTTTTATATGAAATTGAAATGAAAATTTCAGTGTTTTAAATCTATTTGTGCAATATTACATTTAATTATTTATTTTCAACAACAAAAGAAAAAAAAAAAACCATTTTATTCTTTGATCTTTATTCTTGGACTTTATGGAAAAGTATGAAATGAAAATTGAAAAAAAAATTATGCAAATAGCCAAAAGAAAATTACTGAATTCTTGTTTGTAATTGAAATTTCAATTTGTTATTGAAATTTGAAGCTAAAATTAGGTTTAAAATTTAAAGGAAAAAGAAAAGTAAAATTAAATATGTAATGTGATTGAATCATTTTGCGAATTTTTTTCTATTTTCATTTTTATTGCAAGAAAAGAGTAATGTTTTTTGCATAGCACTTGCATATGTTATTCAATGTGTTATATATTTGAGTGAGATGAAGGAGAGAGAGAGAGAGAGAGAGAGGAAGAGAAAGAGAGAGAGAGAAGTTGATTATAGTTGTTTAGAAGATATAGGGAGAGAGAGAGAGAATAGTGAAATTTTGTGAAATAAAGCTATGCTTTAAAAAAAAAAAAAGCTAAAACGAATGTGTGTAGTAGATTGAAGTTTTAATAAAAATTCGAAGAGAGAGAGAGAGAGGGGGAGAAAGAAAGAGAGAGAGAGAGAGAGAGAGAGAAAATGATTTGAGTGATTGTGAGCATCTTATCTTTACCCAGAAAAAAAAAATGGTTTAAAAAGAAAAATCATTGATTGAATTGTATCAGTTAAATTTATACTTTTAGTATTTTGCTTAATTAAATTAATTTGTTTTAGATTTTTTTTTTTCTTGGAAAAGTAAATTGTTTCACATTAAATTTTGTTTTTATTTATTCTTTATCTATGTACTAATTTCTATTCTATTCCATTCATTTTAATTTCAGATTAAGCTAATTTTCAATGTGAAAAAGAAAAATGAGCGCTAATAAAAAAGATAGAAGAGAGGAGAGAAAGAGAGAAAGAGTGAGAGAGAGAGAGAGAGATTTAATCTTTTATAAATTAACTTAAGCAATAGCTTAACTTCCGTCAGTTAAGATTATATAATGCTTAAAAGTTAGTAGACGAATTAATAACTGAAAAATAAATTAAATTAATTGCCATAAATTGACGAAGTGAATTATTTGTAAATAAGCAATTAATCTACTAAGATTAAATTTCCTTTTTTTTTTTTGCTTTTATTACTTTTTTTTTAAATTATTGTTATTATTCTCATAAATCGCAGTATTAAAATAAAGAAATGATTTGCAATTTTTTTTTTTTTTTAAAAAAAATTTTTTACTATAGATTAATTGATGATTTTTTTTTTTTTTTTGTTTCAGATAATTAGCGCATAATCTTTACAAGTAATATCGAATGTTTCATCTAGCTTAAAAGATTTAATTTTGTATTCAAGTTATCTTATTTTGAATGGCTGATGGAAGTGATCATGAAGATTTCGATGGTTTTGCTTGTGATTGTATCGTATCTCAACTCTATGAAGCATTACCTGGTTCACCAAGTTATAAAAGTATGTTTATTATTCATAAAAATTCAAAAAATGATTCATAGGAGATGATTCATTATTTATTTATTCATTGGTTACATGAATTCATTAATATTCTTCTTTTTTAAATGAATAGCTATTCCGAAATTTGTCTATTACTAGAGAATTTACGATTTTAATCTCATTTTTTTTTTCTTTTTTATCTCTTTCCTTTCTTTTTTTCTTCCTGTAAAATCATTGAATTATAAAATATAAAGTTTTTAATATATTATCTCGCTGAATAATAATTTAACGATCACTTTGGCTTTGCTTTTATCCAAAACATTTTTTGTAGATTTTGAAATATTAGTTTTAATATTGTTTCAGTTGGTATTGTACCCTATCTATCAACATATGATACTCAAGATCAAGCACGACATCGTGGTTATTGGATTCCCGGTGTTCCGGTAAAAGCTCGAATAACTGATGTAAAACGAGATGAAAAATTTGGATTGCATCTTATAAATGCTTATTTGTAAGATTTCAAATTTAATAATCATACTGTGTTAGTAAATAAACAGTTCATTTAACTGCATTTTCACTACATTTCAAAAAAAAAAAAAAAAAGAAAAACTTTTTCATTATTTTAATTAATTATCTATTCAGTAACTTTTTTTTTTTTTCATTCTTATTTTGCAAAAGCTTTACTATTAAAAAAATATAAAAAGTTGACTTCGCCAATATGACAGATAGAAATTTGTACTAGAAGGATTATATTTAAATAAATAAATACTTCAAAATGAATAATTAGTTGCTGAATTTGTAAGTTTCAACAAAATGTACAAAATAAAAGAGAAAAAATAGTATAAGATAGTTGTTAATTTTTTTTTTTTTTTTTTTTTTTTTTTTTGATATTTAAGGAATTATTAATATTTGTAATAAAATCCTCCTTAGTTACTTATTTATGAATAGCAAAGACTGTATTAAATTATATGTTTTTATGTGAACTCAGTAGTGATGATGGATTTTTTAATGTGTCCAAATGTATTTGGACTACATAAAGTGATAAAAGATTGTTTTTTTTTTTTTTCTTTTTCATTAGATATGTAATTGAACTGGAACATGGACCATTTCGATGGACAGTGGTTAAGCAGAATAAAGATTTTGCTGTGCTTGCTGCTCGACTACTCACGCATCGAGCTGCAGAACGAATACGAGCTCCGGTTAGGAGGTAATTTTTTTCTTCTCTTTCTCTCTCTCTCCCTCTCTTTTGTTAGGTAATTATTGATAAGACTTTATATTCCATAGATAATGGTTCATTATAATAGTGATATTCGTTTTATATTCCGTAGATAATAGTTGATAGTATTTCGTTATATTAGTGATCCTGTCTTCATCTGATAATTTACTATACTTAATTGCTGAATTCTAGAATAAGATTGAAATAATAAGCGTTTACAACGATGGCCCGAAATATCTGTACCATTTACGTTCATATATAGTTTTAGTCCTATTTTAAAATATTGTTACTTCTTTTGATGGATAGCAAAAGTTGAATCGAGTGTGAAATAATTTAGTCAAAAATCAAGATAACACTGGAGATAGTGGAACAATTTTTGATTTATAAAACAGCTTTTAATTATGATGATAGCATGGATCTTAATTTAAACGGCACGCATAAAAATATTTTTATTCAGGTTACGATATGGAAAAGAACTGTAATTACTCCGAATATTATTATTTTCGTGCTTTTTTCGTCGTAAATAGATTTTATTTAATCCAACTTTTAACTGCATTACGCATGTCTTTCTTCCTAGATGTCAAATATCATCTTTTTGTAATGTGATTATTGCATTCCATATGTCTTACTTTAGAAAAAAAAAAATCCATTTTTCAACAATTTTCAAAAATTGTTTTCTGTGATTTCTTTAGCAAATATTTTCTTGTAATGAAAATTTCATCTTCAATGAAAGTATATTAAATTATTATTAGAAAAATCTAAGTATATTAAAGTATGTAAGTATATTAAAATTATTAGAAAATCTAAATTCCTCATAAGCGGTCACGGAAAACAAAGCAGTGCATGTTTGCTTATTTGTATGTGGTGAAGTATGCACTGATATTTGTCTTTATTTTATTCAAAATATAGTTGCATCACAAATTTTAATAATTGTATTGCAGAGCACAGGAAGTCTTAGATGATGCGCTTGAATCGATTGGTGTTGATATAATACCGGATCACCGGAATGATTGTCCGTATCGTAAGACATCAGATCATCAAAAGGTTATATATTTGAAATGTAATAAATTTACATTTTAATATTTTTTTATAACATATTTTATCATGAATTCATTTTCAGATTCATAATTTGAATAGGTCTGATGATCGTGATAATATACATCAAAGTGGTACTACGAAAAACGAAATCAATACTGAGCAGCAGTCGGTTCCCACCGATTTCACCCGAACTGCTTCAGTTCGTATACCAAATGGTTAATTTTTAACATTACTGTTAGCCTTTTACTTGATTAGTCTTATTATTCAAAATTGGATTTAGTTAGAAATTAAATCAAATTCCGAGTAATAAGATTAATAAATCCAATGTTGAGTAAAATTAACAAAGTCTGTAATATTAAGACGCTAGCAGCTTCTAATTGTTAAGCAGATGATAGTTAATTCGTTTGTCATTTCTGGAGAGCATATATTGGTTGAACTGCTAGATACGGTTTCATCCGGTTGATCACTGATATTTTTTTTTTTTTTTAATAATTTTGAGTTTTTTCAGTATCACCACTAACAAGGGAAAACATTTTGAAACAAAGAAATGTACGATTGAGCGAAATAAAGAGGCATCAGCTGCCATCACTTGGTTTTGTTCCGGATGCGGTTATTGATCCAAATGAACGTCGGGTATTTACTATTGTTTATTTATTTGTCTTATTTAGTTCTTTTATCTGAAATATTTATCACTCAGTTTAGTAAAATGTAAACTGGACAATCAGTAATATCAGAATGTTTTGGTTGAGCGCAATTCAGATCAGACATAACATAAGATACAGCTGACAATTGCATTGTTTTTTTTTTTCCTGCGATTCACTATTTTACTGTTTGCTGCTTAACTTTTTGCGTCAATCTTTTTAGGTCAAAGTAAGTTTATGCCATTTTTAATGAGAAAATTATTTGTTAATATGTTGGAAGAATTTTTTCATGAAAGTTTATTATCATTCAAGCGCTTATGAAGTAAAATTTACATTTTTTAGCAGAGATTGGAGAAATGGCTTCAAGCAGTATTGCATATACCTGTGAATAGAAATCATCACGAAACAGTTAGTTTATTTTGAGAAATACATAATTTGCTAAATAAAGTCTGTGCTGTGATTGTGTGATCACCAAGACTATCTGATATTCCAGTTCATTACTTTGTGGATCTATCTTTTACTTTTAGATAGCGCTTTAATCTTATTCCAATATAATTTTTTATTGCTTGAAATTAAAAAAAAAAATAAACATGTTCAGCATACCTCAAAACTTCCTGGTCACTTTTTCTCTGTGAAAGTTTTAAAGGAGTAAAACTTAATACTAAACTTTTTTAACATTGATATATTACGATAACCGAATACGTTAGTGTACTTCGGCTTACAGTTTTTATGCTTATTAGCTATATCATCATTTTTTCTTTATTTTACTAAACTTTTTGACAGGCAGAATTTTTGGAAGTATCGCGTTTTTCATTTATAACTGAATTGGGTGGTAAATATTGCGAAGGTTTCGTAAAAAAACGCCCTGGTGGTGGAAGAGTTTTTATCGGTTGGAAGCAATGCTGTGTTCGTTATTGCTTAAGATGGTCGAAACGGTGGCTTATTTTAAAAGTGAATTTGTGTTTACCTCCATTTCTTCTCTATCTCAAATTAAGAGAAATGAGATGAAAAGAATTTATTTATATTTTTTTTTGCAAACAGTATAAGTTATTTCAGGATTCATCAGTTTGTTATATGAATCCAAGAACTGAACAGATACGTTTCGTACTTTTATTTGATCGTGATTTCGATGTTTCTGCTGGAATTAACGAAACAGTTGGAATGCCAGATGGTTTGGTTATCAGTAATCAACAACAGTAAGTTCACTATCTCATACGTGCTGTAGTTTTTTTTTTTTTAAAGTACAGATTATGAATTTGTTAACAGGATGAAGTGGTAAAATGGATACCTGCGGTAATTAGTTGATGGTTGTAATTGTCTCTTTTTGTAGAAATTGAATAAAACATTGTTTGTAATAAGCGGCATTGATAGTCTCAATGATAGTTGATAAAATAAATAGTAGTACTGCATTCATGGTGTAGTCCTCTTGCTGTTTCTCGTATTTAATTTAGTTTCAAAATTTGATTTAGTATATTAGCATTGAAATGTCGAACACCACTGGATGCCATACAATGGAAGGCAGCAATACTGGAATCAATGAATAGCGTTGGAAGGATTTGGCTAGAAAATCATCCGTACGGATCAACATTTCCGGTGCGACGTGCACAAAGTGTTCAATGGTTTGTCGAACCTTTTTTTATTTCTTCATTCAATGAAATAAAATTTATCATTAATGATCCATTTAATTATTAAAGAAATTTCTTAAATATTATTTATTTTTTTTTCATAGGTTTGTTGATGGACGATCATTTATGGAACATGCAGCTAATATGATGGAATTAGCACGTGAGGAAATTTTCATTGCAGGCTGGTGGTTATCACCAGAAATTTTTATGAAAAGACCGCCAGTGGAGGGAAATCGATGGAGACTTGATGAAATTTTAAAGGTTACTTTATGCAGTTTTGTTGTATCAGCGATAAATGATAACGGAAAATAGAAAGTTACTCCTTCTGTTTAAAGTTTCAGAACAATAATATGATGTTGTGAAATCATTAAATAGTTTAAATCTGATAAATTTGTAGCATGTTAGCTATTACATTTATACTATTGTTGTAAGTTTAGAGAAAAGCAGAACAAGGAGTCAGAATATTTGTTCTCCTATACAAAGAAATGGAAATGGCCCTTGGCATTAACAGTATATACACTAAACGAACTCTACAAACGCTTCATAAAAATATTAAGGCATATGATGAATTTTTTATCTAAGAGGATTTCATTTAGTATTTAATAGTTTGCAGGTTATTTATTACATGCTTGCTTTTTGACATCTTTGCATGCATTTTTTTCAGTCTACCTGTAGCTTTTATTTAATGTACTACAAAAAAAAAAAAAAAAAAATGAAAGGAAAGGAAAGAATGATGATTAGATATTCTTGAACTTATAATGACACATTTAAAAGCAACTAATTTATATTACTTTGATATTTAGGTACTTCGTCATCCTGATCATTATCTTTCATCGGGTACATTTTTCTGGGCTCATCACGAAAAGTTAATCGTTATTGATCAGCTTATAGCATTTGTTGGCGGTGTTGATTTGTGCTTTGGTCGTTGGGATGATTGTCGTCATAAATTGGCTGATTGTGGTTCGGTAAAAATTTCCGAACAGCAAAATATCTGTTTAGGTGGTGATTTTTCCATGGTTTGTTTTAGTCTATCTTAACAAGTTTCTTTTTTTTTTTGTATTAATAATTCAGAAAAATACAGCTTGTAGCTCCAGAGTTCCAGAACGCTTATTTCACTATTTCAAATGAGATATTAAAATGGTTTTAGAAAAGATTGTGACTTAAGGTAATTGTGAATAATTTCCTAGTTAAGATATTCGAGCTTAACGTCCAATCATTTTGGAACTAAAAATCGCTATAGAAGATCGAACGAATTACTGTTGTGTTTAGCAGTATGAAATTTTTGAGATCTTAAGTGCTGTCGATATCCTATACATTGAATCTTTGGTTTTAATATCATTCAGGTAGATGTGCAATTTGTAAATATGTACTTTTGAGGTATGATTAAAGTGAACGAGAATACAAAATGTGTTAAATTTGTCAATTTAGCTTTAAAATAAATTTTCAGAAAAAAGAAAGAAATGAAGTCTTTTCATTTCAGGTGAAAAGTGTTAGACAGATTGTGACAGCAGCTGGAATACTGTCACCTATCGGATTAGAGGAAAATGAAGAGGTGACAAAGAAAAGTGTCGGGTACGATGAAATTGACAGGTCGAATGATTTGATTGATGAAGAAACTGAAAAAATCAAAAAAACCAAAACAAAGAATGTACAGAGATGTTCAACAAATTTTGCTAGACGGAAGCAGCACAAGAAAAGTCAACATAATGAAGGTAAATTTGGTTATTTTGCCCTAAAAGAAAACGATTGAAGCAATGAATATTTTTCTTTATTCATTTATGCATCTTTCATTTATTTTTATTTATTTGTTTTGTTTACTGTATGTGTAACATTTAGTTGTATTTTTGCAATGTATACAGTATTTAATAGACTTGAAAGATTTTTACTGCGCATGTATTTATCTTTATTTTTCTTAATTTGCTCATTTTTAAATAACTTTATTGATTTTTACTTAGTTTTTCAAAAATTTTCGCGTTTCAGCATGAGTTGTTGAATTAATTTCGTAACTTATTTGGCTTAATGTGGATAATTTTTAATTTTGTATCAATGATTAAAATCAAGTAGATTTAATTCATGCTTAATTTTTTTGTTAGTATCACAGGTAATTACAGATTAAGAGATGAATAGAAAAAAAAAAGAAAAGGAAAGAGTATGCATTGCTGCAAGTGTTGATAAAATAAATGGCCTGAAGAAACGACAGAGCAATTTATTCTTCAATATTTAGGTGATCATGAAGCACCGCGGAAGTTAACTGAACATAATCATGTCCTTCTGTCAGTGGTTAAGCATACGCAAACTGTGATAAGAAGGTCCAAATCAACAGCTGAGACACCACCCATTGAAATGCTAAATATGAATGCTGAAAGGATGGATATTCATGATGCGATGGATAAATATAAGGTATTTTCTTGAGAATGCTATGATTTTATATACAGAAAAATTGACGTTGCACGTAGGTTACATTTTGATACGTCTCATACCTTTGCACCTCTTCTTATTATCACCTGCAAGCTTGCAGTTGAATGTATCACATAAATCTTGGCAAAAAGAAATAATTAGTATTTTAATTGTTCATATATTTCAATGTGTTTTATGTATTATTCAAGGATAAACACTTTTTTAATGTCATACACAAGTTTTGCTTGGAAGATGGAAATATAAGTGAAATTTTATATAAGTTTCAGTTGAGAGTAGGCATTAGTTGTTGAACTTCACTTATATATATATATATATATATATATATATATATATATGGTTTGATCAGTATAATACATATATATGTAATAAAAGATAAAGTTTTTCTTTTTTTAAGGCTTATGTACATAGTGGAAAAGCAGAAGAGGCAAAACACAATGCTGAGAAGAAATCAACACCGCCACCACAACGTAAGATATTGTCGAAAGTAGCACATAGCTTAAAACCATCATCGGCTAAGAAGAACTGGCAAAAAGTTAAGCAGGAAACAACTCGATATGATTTCAGGTAACTTTTAAGATATTTTTAAATTATTTGTAATTGTGATTTAATTGATTAATTTGTGAAAATGTGTATAGATTAGTGCAACATATTGAGTTTATTTGAATAACATTATGACGACATTTATTTGAACTTTTTTTTTTTTTTTTTTGCAAAAAACTTGAAATTTACTTAAAGTTTCTATCTGATTATAAATTAATCAACTGAAAATTATGAACAAAATGATAACATTTACAGATATATGGAATTACGTGATCAAAACGAAAAAATTCGTGCAATGGAGGAACGTATGACAGGTGCTGGAAAATTATGGGTTGGGAAAGACTACGCAAATTTCATTCATAAGGATTTTGTTGAACTCGATATGCCATTTCATGGTGTGTTGATATTTTATTATTTAAGATAATTATTTCTCAAATCAGTTAATGTTTTTTCATATAAATGTTTGCGAAAGTACGGCGGAGTTAATTGTAACCTTCTCAGCTTTAACTTTATATTTTTGATAATGTTCAATCATGCATAGAAGTAAATCATAGATGAATGTTATAGTGGTGATTCTTAGATACCAGTCTTTAGATCTATTAATTGTTGTTGCTTGTTATGACGAGGTTTTAAAATTAAAACTTCAGGATATTCTTCTATTAGGTTCGAAAAAAAATGGCAAGAAAGGTTTGAAAATAGATGAAATTAATCGTTTGAAATTATAACATGATTTTAAAAAAGTTGAACTTAGTTGATTTAGTTTTATGTTTAGGATCAAGTTGTAAGTAACTTGGAAATTCACATATTACTAAGTTCTTGATAATCGACATACTACTAAATCATTTGGCTAAAATCAAAGGAAGTCAAATTACTAATTAGGCAAGCAATTAATTAATCTATAGGCACATGAAACTGATATTTCCGATTTATTTGACAAATAATTTCTGAATTATTGCATAACAAAAATTAGTACTATATATTTGTCTTTGATTTTGAAAGATTTGAAGATATAAATATTATACGGATTGTCCTGGTTGTATCATTAATTTTTTAGATTTTATCGATAGAAATGTGACTCCACGGATGCCTTGGCATGATATTCATGCTTGCACATATGGTAGTGCTGCACGTGATATTGCTCGACACTTTATTCAAAGATGGAATGCAACTAAGGTATTATTATTTCTTGCTTCTAAGAATTAATCCTAATCTTAATAAAGAAAAAGTCGTAATTTTTTTTTTTTTGTGAGATCAGAATTACTTAGAAATCTTAGATTTTTAAAATTTTCAACACTTGTTTGTTTGAGATATTTCATTTATTATTTTACAGACGGAAAAATCCAAAGAATTGAAGGAATATCCCTTTTTGCTACCTAAATGTTATGATACCATTAAAGTACCACGGGTTCTAGAAACATATAGTAGCTTAGCTGATGTGCAAATTTTACGTTCAGTTTCTAAATGGTCATCACTTACCAACTGTACAGAAGATAGCATTCAACAGGTATCATTTATTAATGTTTTTTTTCTTCCTTTTTTTTGGAACAAAGATTGCGAATAAGGACTATTTAGTTTATGCTGATAACAGTGCAAACTATATTGCAAGAAAATGGTGGAATGCAAATTAAGCTTGAAATTTTAAAATTAATTCTGTAATGTAGTAAAAGGTGAGAAAAATGTTGTCTGGATTTTAATCAGTGCGTGAGCTTAGAATTTAATGAATGTGTGAGTTTAATATTGAGTGAGGGTGACAAATCTCTGCAATCAACTGCTTCTTACAGGCATACCTCTCTCTTATTGCAAATGCACAGCATTATATTTATATTGAAAATCAATTTTTTATTTCCATTATTGATAGCGATGATGTGAGAAATGAAATTTGCAAAGTACTTTGCGAACGAATCAAACGGGCCTATCGGTTTGTAATAGAAATTTCCCTGGATATTTTCATTTTTTTTTTCCAGTCTTAGAGTTAAATTCGATTTCAAATCAGATGACTTTCAGTTTCTTAAATTTTTTTAGTTAGGTTGCAGTTTTGATTGAAGAGCATTTGTTTCAGTGAAAGAGCAAAATTTCGGGTATACATAATGCTGCCACTGCTTCCCGGCTTTGAAGGTGATATTGGTGCACCAGGTGGTTCAGCATTACAAGCTGTTTTACACTGGACTTATAAATCACTTTCCCGAGGACCTGATTCGTTGATCGAAAGTCTTAAAAGATTTGTGCCCGATCCGATGGAATATATTCATATTGGTTCTTTACGCACTTATGAAATTCTTTCTGGAAAATTGGTTAGGATGAGATTTTCATGATAGGAAGAAGTTTCATCTTATTTATCAGATAATCAGTTGATGTCTCACATATTTAAAAAAAGGAAACATACTTTTAAACAATTTTTTAAATAAACATACTAAAAAAGACATATTTTCATGGCATTGTATATAAATAATGTAGTTGGGATCAGTAGAAAAAAGGGACAAAAGCTGAAATAATTATTCCACATTTTCATTTGCTATTTGGTGATTTAAAAAAATTTTTTTAATAGGAATTTATGTAAGAGTCTTAAAATGAGTGAAATAAATTTGTTGAATTCTGTCAATTATCAGGTCATATACAAATTTCTTTCCAGCTAACCGAACTAATTTACATCCACTGTAAATTAATGATTGTGGATGATCGATATGTGATTATTGGATCAGCAAACATAAATGATCGTTCACAAGTTGGTAATAGAGATTCGGAAGTAAGGATCACATATGATTCTCTTATTGCTTTTTCAAATTCCAGAATACTATTGTGATAAGGAAATGCAATTTTAAGTTGAAATATATTTTTATTGGCTTTTGTAGTTTCAAACGTTGTAAGGCAGCGGTAAAACCGAAAGACTAATCATATATAAATATATTCATTATATGATATTAGTATTACATTTTAGTTTTCTACTACAAAATTCATTGAGCAACCATACAGTTTTGAAATTTAAGTTATTAAAATGAGCTGTCAATTAATGTCAAAATAATTGAGTCATATGAATATTGTTTATATAAATGAATTTAATAGTATGTAATTATTATGAATTTGTCACTTATTGATTTTATTAATAGCATCTTTTTTTTTTTTCAAACAGGTTTGTATCCTTGTCAAAGACTACGAAAATGTTTCATCTCGAATGGACGGGAAACCGTATGATGCGGGTAAATTTGCGTTCAGTTTACGTAAGACATTGATGATGGTTAGTTATTAACAAACTTTTTAACTTTTTTTATGTTGTAAAATATGGCTAATTTTAAAAAGTACAACTAACCTATTCAGTTTACTCTAATGATAATTGAATGAATGTTTGGTTTTCTATAGTTATAAACATTTCAGTAGCTATATTAGTTCTTATGTCTTTATAATATTTAGGTGGTTAGAAAGTCCATATAGATAACTGTTTGCTGTGTTTTAGTTGGTGTTTTTTTTTGTGGTAAATATGAAAGATATTCCTTATTGTTCAGCTCTATTTCATAATATTTTTGAAAAGAATTAATATGAAAAGTATTATATAATTTGATAGGAGCATCTTGGTTTACTGCCGGAACAAAAAAGAAAACCACCGAAAAGAAAAATTGATGTGGATGATCCTGTTACTGATTCGTTTTTTGTTGGTACATGGGGAGCTATTGCAAAAAAGAATACAGAAATATTTGAAAAAGTATTAATTTTCCATTCTGAGAATTGAATTTTATTAGATTAAATTTAAACACGTTTTGCCACTTTCATTGGATTTTAGATTTACCAAAATTTAAAGTTGTAAAATGCGTTAGAGTATTTCAGTCATTCAGTTTTGGAATAGTTTTTTATTTGTTACATTTTTTTTTTTTTTTTTTCATTTAAGAAATGGTTATTTTAAAATTTTTTATAGGTCTTCAATGTTATTCCAACAGATAAGCTGAAAGATTTCGTAGAAGTACAAATGCACGTTGCGAAAATACCATTAAGTGAAACTGTTCCACAGGTAGCAGAAGAATATCTTCGTGATTTGATTGGTAATCTTGTGGAATTTCCATTAAATTTTCTTGCTAATGCTAATCTTGCTCCAGGCTTTACATCTAAAGAAGGTATTGTACCGTCATCGGTTTTTACATAATTGATGCAGTTTTTAGTTTTGAAGTTATTGCTGATCAATGTATTTTTTTTTTCTGAAACAAGGATAAACTTGGGTTACATGTTTTGCTGCGATAAGCTAGGCTTCCTTCTCACTTTCATATTTTATTCATGGCTTTTTTGTATATTTTCATTTTACTGCAAAATCTCGATGCTTTTTTTTTTTTGATTCCTAGTGTTTTCTGCACTATTTGTCTTCCTTTTTAAATTTGGAGTAGAATGGACTCATCAGTGCTTTACACCATGTATTTCATACACTTCATACACTTACAACTTCCTTGAATTTTCGTTTTAACGAATTTCTAAATTTCTAATTTCTCTTTAAATGCCAGAATATTATTGTTTAGGTTTTTGTTTTCCTCTTTATTCTTTTGCTATGACTGTGATTTTCTCTTTCATAAATTTTTTAATTATGCATTCTTCATTTTTTGTCTTTCTCAAATTTTTTTCAGAAATTTTTGTGAATTGAGCTTCAGATTTCCAATTTCTTTATCATTTGAGGTGTATGATTATCAAGTTTACTTCATGGAACCTTTTTATATCGTCATATATGTATATGCTTTTTTTGTTCTAAATTAGCTAGTATCCATTCTCTCAATTGTATATAATTTCTATTTTTAGTAATTCACTCTAGGTTTCAATTGTAAACAGTTTAGCTTTTATTTAAGCAAGTTCAAAACTTGACCAGATTGTATTTTTGTCCCAGTATTTATTATTTTTTTGTCATGGTATACGTCTTCTCATTATTAATTGTATTGATTTTATGCATAAAAACTAAGCATAAAAATTACTTATGTTAAGATTTTTTTGACAAAACATTCTTGGTGAAAGTATCCAGACTGAGTTATCTCATCGATACTTCCATTATTATAATGTTGGGCATATTATGATCTGTATGAGCTGTTCAAACTAAATTTAGGAAAACATTTGATCAGAGTCAAAAAACTGATCCATGTAATTATTTTTTACGGCCATTTGATAGAAGTAGCTGGAATTTGAATTTATCTAATAAGCAAATGTCGCATCCGGCAATAGCATTTCTTTCATTAATTATTTAAATTTGCTTCCTGACAATAAGCATAGACTTTCTTCCCGATTATTTCTTCGATTTATCTGACTGCATGGAGCTGTGAAAATTTTTTTTCATTTATCAAATTCTCATTTATCGAAGTTATGTGACACCAAATTGAGGAACTAATTGATATCGCTTATAAAAACGAGAGCTGTTGTGTAATTTGAAGGTCACTATCTTATGTAAAACGGTCGAAATGGGTTCAACTCCTGGTGGACTGGAAGGTTAGTAATTGCTCCATGTTCTTAACATATCCAAACTATATAAATCCAAATAGGTCATTTTAATGTTTAGAGTTTCTGATACAGTTTGTTAGTTTTAGTTTTATATTATTAATAGCTTTTATTGTGTCAGCATGTTGAGGAGGTAGAAATCTTATTAAATACATCTTATATTTGAAACTTTATATAGATCCAATTAGTACTTCCGTTTGTGATCCATTTGGAATTAGCTATATGATTTATGTAAGCTTCCAAGTGTTACTTCGTTTAAAACTCTGAATTCTAAATCTGAGTAAGTCAGTGAAAGAAGAATCAATAATGAGTATTAAAAACATTTTTTTGGGTGAATTTTAAATTTTGGATGAAAGATTTTCAAATGTTACACTAAAGGAAATGTCAATTATTTCATGTAGAACAACAGCAGGTGCAAATTATTTCAGGTAATTTCCCGCCACCACCGGCAGAATTACCATCATTTTACATGCAGCAAAAGCAAACAACATTTTTTCCACCTATGCCACCACAATTACATCCTCCACTGGAATCACTTCCAACAACCCTTCCTGGTACGGTGGCAAATTCAGAATCACCATCAACCACATTTCCAATTCTTCCACCATCCAGCTTTCCTCCTCCGCCTTCTGAGTTTACACTGCCATCGATGCAACTCGTAGCACCATCAACACCTCCATCTCTCTCCGTTCCGTCTTCCTGTGCAGTTCCGGTGACGGAACAAGCTTCGGTGACAGTTCCGTCGGAAAGTCATGACGCTACTATTGCTGCTACTACTATCACCGCTGCAGATATACCAGTAACTTTGCATCAAACAGTATCTTCAACACCAATACCGCCGCCAGCAACTGCTCAAATGATCATTCCAATGAATGTACAAGAAACGGAGCAAACGATATCAGAAATAAATGATGAATCGAAAAAGATGGGTGTCTTTAATTGGTTTCAACAAGCTGTGCAACAATCACAATTCTTATCTAAAATGGCTAACAAAGCTAAGGTTTGTTGATAGTGTTAAAAATGAAAACTAAAATGAAATGAAACAAAAAAATAGAGAAATTAAACAAGAGCACAAAAGGTATTCTATTGAAGACCTTATTGATAAAATCTGTAAAATTCATCACTTAGAGCTATGCAAGGCTATGAATAATTTATTTTATCCAAAATAATTAGAAGTAGCACATATTATTCTCTCCGTTTGCACTGAATTTTTCTTTTTACATGATCCTATTACTACTACTACTACTCTTGTATGGACTTATTCTTTTTTTGTTTAATAAAAATGATAAAATTTTAAGATTTCAGGTAGGAATGGATTCGGTATTAACAGTACTGGATCCTGGAATGCGAGATTTCCTGAATGGTAGTGATGTGCTGCATGCTGTTATATTATGCTACGCTAATAAACAGATTATTGATGCTGTTAAACATGGCCTACTTCAAACATTTAGTGAAATAATATTTGACGAAATAAACGCAGAAGTCGAACTTCCTACTACTAATATTCAGATTATTGGATATGAATCGGCTTGGAAGGTTAACTTATGTTGAGATATTTTTTATCAAAAGAAATCTGTAGGTGGTTAAGTAAGAAACATATGCTGCAGTTGCATTTTTTCAAATTTCGTGCTAAGTTAATTATTGTTATTACAATTATTTAGAAGAGATCACTTTTTTTCTATTAAAAAATAGTGAGCTTCTAAAGCACCTTATGCAAGTATATTTACAACTGTTAAGTTTATATTCTTTTCATTTTTAATTTATTTACTTATTTTCATTTGCATACTCATTATTTTATATTTACCAAAATTACCACTTATTCCCCAGAGTCATAAATTTACATTTTTTAGAAAGTAAAGGAGCGCTTGGCTACCCTTCGAAATAGTAATACTGTTAGTCCGGAGACAACTTTATTCATTGTACAGCCATTTTTGTATCAAGTTGATGATTGTTGGTTTGATACTGCTTTAATACTAGCTCAGGTATATTATT